GACCACCAGGAGCCACTCCACGATCTACCAGAATACATTGTTCCAGACTTAGATGAGCCAGAAGGACCTCAACCTCGGCAAGAGATGGGCGAGTTACATGTGTTGTCAGAGGAGGAGGAAGAGGAGGAGGAACCCCGCAAATCTGTGCTCATTGACCCGGAGAGTGAGGAGGAGGAGTCGCAAGCGGACCAGGCAAATAAGGTAATGGAAAACGGCGATTGTCTTCCACCAGAGATGAGCTACCTGGTCTTTTCAACAGCCCTTCCGGACAATAAGAACTCCACGATCCGAGCCGCCATGCAGGATGTGATGCTCTACATTGCGAGTCTTGGAATGCCAGTGATGAGGTTTCATGCAGACAGAGGAGAGTTCTTTTCTGCAAATTTCCGAGCATGGTTGAGGAATCAAGGAGTTAGAGCCACTTGGAGCGAGCCTGGCGAGCCACAATCGAATGGGGTGGCAGAGCGGACCGTTCGATGGATAAAGGACAGGGCGAGAGCCCTTCTTCGAGGAGGAGGACTACCGTTGGAGTTGTGGCCGACGGCGATTGAGTCAGCTGCGGCGGAGCAAAGAGCCAAGACCTTGGGATGGAAGTCGAAGCTCATAGCGCCCTATGGTTCCCGAGTCCACATGAAGAAGCGGCCATTCACTGCGAAGGGACCACGAAGAAAGGCAGAAGCTTTGGAATCCAAATGGACGTCGGGTCACTATGTGGGTCTGAGCGGCTTGATTGATGATGGTCACCTGGTGTACATACCTCCTGGAGATGGAGGGCCAGACGATAAAGGGGGGTTTCTTCACACATTGCATGTTCGACCCCACCTACATGATCCAGGAGTACCGGAACAGGAATTGGAAGCTGAGGAGCCGCGCCCGTCATCCAGGAGGAGAGTCATTGGAAAGAAGCCACCTGTGGTCCGGACGCTGTGCGTACAAGACCCGACACCTGGCGACATCGCAGACCATGCCCGACAACAGGCAACCCGATTGCTTGAGCACTGGGATGTAAAGGAGGCGAAGGATCTAGTTGGAGAATTGGCGTTGCTTGGATTCTTTGACTCTCGGAAGTTCGGAATGTACCGACATGGTGGTGTGGTTGGAATGATGAAGGGCCAGCAGGAGTTTCCAGAGGTGACACAGGTCCTTGCTCGAATCCTTAGGGAAGCCGAACCAGCTGCCACCTTTACTGCCATGTGGGTTTCTCGCAACGTGGAAAAGGAGCTACACCAAGACCAGAACAATGCTGAGGCCTCCTACAACTATGCCGTGCCGATTGTTTGTCCGAGTCGAGGAGGAGAACTTTGGGTGGAGTTAAGTCGGGGGGATGTGGTGAAGGGAGCCGTCACGACAGTTAAGGACAATGAGGGTCGAGAGCTGTTTGGACATGTCCTACCATTACGACCTGACCTTTGCAATACCTTCTCACCTCGACGGAAACACCAGGTTCTGCCTTGGACTGGAGAGCGAGTTGTCCTCATAGGATACACCCCTGAATGCCTGGGAAAGATGACCTACTCTGATATCGGACAGTTGGAAGAGCTGGGTTTCGTGGTGCCTATTTTCCAGTTTCCAGAAGCCAACGAACCAGTGGAGCCGAAGATGCAGAGCATGGAGCCTAACCTGCATGTGTTGAGTGGTGATGATGGTGATTGCTTTCTGGAACTTCCGGAAGGAAGAGTCTGCATCGATGAGCTGCTCACTTCGCAGGAAACGAGGCCTCCGATGGTTCAGAAGATCGAGGTGAACTACACGAGAAACATAGAAGAAGTTCTCGCATCCCTGACAGGGCCGCTGGAAGTGACCTATACTGCTCATCCGTCCGAGGTCCTGGCGAACTTGCAAGTTTGGGAACCAGCTATTAGAAAGGAGGTGAAGAGTGTGTCGGTCGCGATCCAGAGGCTGATGGTTGGGACGCCTGAAAGGGAGCATTGGTTTCGGAAACCTGGTGTGCAGCGACTACCAACAAAGTTCGTGTTCACTGTTAAGCCAAGAGATGATGCCGTGGCCAGTGACCCAACTACATGGTTCAAGAGAAAGGCGCGCCTGGTGGTGTGTGGAAACATGGCCACGAATGAGTGTGAGTCTGTCTACACTGAAGCTGCTCCTGCTGAGGCTGTAAGGGCTGCGTTGGCCCTTACGGTCAAGAATTCCTGGGCTGTCGGGATCATCGACATCGTGACCGCATTCCTCAAAACTCCGATTGGCGAGACCAAGAGCGACCCAGTGATCTTAGTCAGTCCTCCCAAGCTGTTGGAAAAACTGGGGATTACGAGTGCTTGGGAGTTGTGGGCCCTAACTCGGGCGCTCTACGGATTGAAGGAAGCACCGAAGCTATGGGGAGCTCATCGTGACAAGCAATTGGCAAAGGTCACTGTAACGATTGCTGATGCCATTTGGAGTTTGCAACAGGGAAGGGCAATTACCAGTTGGTGGACTGTACGTGACGACCATCAGCAAGTGCAAGGAATCGTGCTGATTTACGTGGATGATTTTCTTCTGTGTGGCGCTGAGCATGTCATTCGTGAGCTGACAAGGGAGATCCAAAAGCTTTGGGACACATCTGATCTGCGATTGTTACAACGGGATGTGGATCTTAGATTTTTGGGAATGGAACTGCATTATGAAGACGACAATTCCCTGAGTCTCTCACAAGAAGGATACGTGCAAGAGCTACTACGAAGCCATGGGGTGGAGAATGTACATACGGCCCGAGTACCTGTTGCAAAGGAACAGGCAGTTTTCATGACGCAGGACGAGGACGAGCAGGGAACACCTGAGCAAATTCGATATGCCCAGCAGTTGACGGGAGAAATTTTATGGCTCAGCCAACGTACTCGACCTGACCTTGCCTATTTGTCATCGCTAATGGCGTCGCTATCATGCCGGGCACCTCGTCGGGCTATTCAACTGGGAACCAGAGCACATGGCTACCTGGTAAGAACAAGGAGCTACAGGTTGAGCATCTTCTTTGATGACGGTCAGCTGGCAATGTACTGCGATGCTGCGTTTGCCCCGGAAGGGGGCCGGTCACGTGAAGGCTGGGCTGTGATGTGGGCTGGCACTCCAATATTATGGCGCTCGGGCCGACAATCACTGGTATCCCTATCCACAGGGGAGAGTGAGCTGATCGCTATCCTCAACGGCACCGTCGGGATGTTGGGTGTAGAGGCCTTACTACAGGACATCGATATTACAGTCACCAAGAGGGAAGTGAGGTCCGACAGCACAGCAGCATTAGCCATCGCGAGTGGTGGTAGTTCATGGCGAACCAGGCACCTACGAATCAAGGCGAATTGGCTCTTCGAACAGCTGCAATCTGGCTATGTGGTCACCCGCCATTGTGCGGGGAAGGTCCAGTTGGCAGACTTATTAACAAAGGCCCTGACAGGACAAAGGATTGTGGATCTCCTGTGCTTATGGGGGCTGCAGTGTCCTACCCGAGGGTCTCTACAAGCACCACGAAGCAATATAGCTGCGAAGGTTTTGGTGGCTACAATTTGCTGCTTGTTGGTGTTGACGACGGAGGCACGAACCTCCATGACTGCAATAGAGGAGGAGGCAGAGAAGAAGGGCATTCAGCTGGATTGGGATATGATTGGCTGGCTTTTGGTGTTTTTGGCGATAATAGGAGGATTGGTGGTCTGGGAAGGATTAAAATGGGTTATAGTGTCGGCGACTTCGAGATGGATTCCTGGGTCTAGCGAAAGGAGACTGAGGAAGCTGCAGCGACTGAGGGATGCAACAGCGAAAGCCATCGAGAAGGAGCTGGAGAACCTTAATGGTCCTTTGGCCGAAGATTCCCGCCAAGAGGACCTCGATCAGAGAAGACCAGCAACTCAAGTCCGTGCCGAAGATTCCCGCCAAGAGAACGTCGATCAGAGAAGACCAGCAACTCAAGTCCGTGCCGTTTCCCGCTCTGAGCAACATAGAAGTTCATGCAGATCCGAGACTCCGTCCACACCACGAAGGCCTAGTCTTATAGAACCGAGTCGATCACCGGGTGCTCAAAGCTCGATGTCAAGGTCCACTTGGAGAGACGATGAGGTCACAAGGTCCGAGAGAGAGCGAGTGGTCAAAGACCTACTTCACTTGGCGACAGTAGAGGAGCTTCGTGCTGGGCTGAGGCATGAGAATCTGACTCAACGTGGCATCAAGCACGAGTTGGTGGGACGACTTGCCAATCGACTTCAAGAATTGGAAGATGAAGTTGGAGATGAAAGGCCAACTGTGAAGCAGATGAAATACGTCTTGTGGCTATGGAGAGAGCGGACCTTGAACTACAAGGTCCATTTGGCTTGGGATGATGTGCGAACGAAAGAAAGGATATCCCTGGCCATCGATCGGTGGAAGCATCTGTGAAAGGACCTGGAATGGAAAAGGGGCAATGGATGCCTAGCGACTCCATTGAGGAGGAGTGAAGAAAGCCCTGGCCAGGTTCAACACAGATGTCTTCGCCCGCTTCGCTCCGTCTTGGCTGCATTCAGGGAGGGGCTACGAAAGGCTCCCTTGAGCACATGTTCAGAAGATTTACAACACAACATCAAGTCTTAGCAGGCATGCATATCGGTCACCTGTACAAAAACCGATTTTCTATGCATAGCCTTCCACAGATTCACCTTCGTTGTTTGCAGAAGCAAAAGATCAGGGCGCGCGGCCTCCAGCCATGGATTTCAAGTCTGGCATGCTGCCCTGATTTACAGTGGTTTTTCAAGGGTTTAGGGTTTAGGGCTTAGGGCTTAGGGCTTAGGGTTTAGGGTTTAGGGTTTAGGTGCAGGGACTTGCTATCACTATGAATTTGCCGAGGGTTCATACTCTTACGATGTTCTTACTGAATTCTTGGGGGTTCTCGCTTTAGGGTTCCAATTAGGATCCTTTTATTCTAGGCGTAGATTATATGACCGCTCGAGAAGGAATGTAAAGGGATCGTCAAATTCATGCTGATAGCCAATCCCTGCCTTAAGGCTCCTTTGCAAACACACCCCTGTGCACGTCCAGGCCGCGCGATCTCTTCTTCAGTGGCCGCCACGACCTTCTTGGCTTCCTTCAGGTCCTCACCAGAAAATCTAGACTCGGGAGAAACCCTAAACCCTAAACCCTAAACCCTAAACCTTAAAAGGGCAGCCTTTTCTGGTTTTAAGGGTATTATAAAGGGAACCCCAGCCTCCGGGTCCTAGAATTCGCGCGAGCGCCCCGTAACCCTAATCTTGGGCTTAAGAGGGCACCTACAGCCAGTGCTGGTTTTGTGTTTAGGGTTTAGGGTTTTGTGTTTAGGGTTTAGGGTTTAGGGTTTAGGGTTTAGGGTCTCAAGATGGCCGCCCTAGAGCCACTAGATCCACAACCCTACGTCCCTGGACCCTTAAAGCTCTCTAAACCCTAAACCCTAAACCCTAAACCCTAAACCCTAAACCCTTAAAGTCGTCTAAATCCTGAACCCTTTGAGCCCTAAACCCTAAACCCTTAAAGCCTTGAACCCCTGCCTGGAGACCTTAGCAGCCCCAACAACGCACGACGTGAAACGCGCGTTGCCAACGCAGCGCCGCCGCTGCCAACGTGTAGCCCATTCTTGCCTTGTAACTGCTATCCCTGGCCTTCCCCACAACACCCCCACAACGCCCAATGCAGCAAACCGACATGGACTCCAGCGCTACTCATTCGCAACGCTGTCTGCTCAACCCTAAACCCTAAACCCTAAACCCTAAACCCTGGGCAGAATTAAGGTTTACAGCTGAGGGACTTGGGGTCGAGGTCTATGTAAGCCCTAAAAACGAACAGGTTTACGAGGAGGTTGCGATCCAACTATTCTGGTTCAGGAAGAGAGGTTTAGGGTTTAGGGTTTAGGGTTTAGGGTTTAGGGTTTAGGGTTTAGGGTTTAGGGTTTAGGGTTTAGGGTTTAGGTTTCAGGTTTAGGGTTTGGGGTGTGGGGTTTAGGGTTCAAATTCCTATATGAGCGGCTGCCAAAACCCCTTGCTTGCGGTAACGTAAACCTCCTGCAGACCGCTACTCCCAACCCCCCTTTTTGGGGCTCCGAGGGGGCCTTTTTACTGGTCCTTTATTGCCCCCTTTGTAGCACTTACTTCTAACGTTCACTGGTGATGGAGCATGAACAGATATCAGATACGATAATTAGGGCTTTTTCATCACGAGTGAACACCATGAACAAAGTGCACGAAGTAAGCGCGTTCATGACTTCGTTCACTTTTATGAATTTCATGCGTTCATTCATTTCACTCAATAGCTGGCTGCACAGGCACCAACAGCGGCGGACCACTCGAAGAACTACCACGTGTTTCCGTCGACTGCGCTGCCTTCGCAGCAGTCCTTGGCCGAGACTTGGGAGGCGTGCGAGGCCTCCTTGTCACAGGAGGCGACCTATATGGGTGGTTGTCAAAATCATGGTCCCTTTTTGGATCCCTATTATAATACGGCACCTAATATTTAGGGTACCCCAAAAGGGATCATAATTTTGACAACCACCCATATAGATTCTCCAGCTCAGGCGCGCGGGATGGACATGGGATGGCTCCGGTAACGCCTGCAACGTAAACGCCGCAGAATTCTGTTCCCCTTTCGGCCCTGCAAGCCGATCTGATGGGCAAAAGTTTCGCCTGAGCCTCTTGTGGGCGGCGCCCCAGCGAGCTTATTTGGACTCCGGGGGCTTTGGGGTTTGGGGAAAGTTTGGATTACTAGGGCTGAGTGTTTCAAAATAAGGTTTAGAATTCAGGGTTTAAGGCTTAGGGATTGAAGGATATTGGAGTCGCCTTCAAGAGGGGTGCAGGGATGGGCATTTCGGGGCTTTGCTGCTCCAGCCCCAGCCCCCCTAGCAGCACTCTCAATTGCAGTTCCTGATTGGGTTTAGGGTTTAGGGTTTAGGGTTTAGGGTTTAGGGTTTAAGGGTTTAGGGTTTAAGGGTTTAGGGGCTTAGGGGCTTCGGGGCTGAAAAGATTCGGTCCTCGTCTTCGATGCCCAGCTGGCTTGCCAGGCGCTCGCGCTCCTGCCAGCTGTTCCCGAAGGGACACGCACCCGAATAGTACATACCCTAAATGTAGGGTTTAGGGTTTAGGGTTTAGGGTTTAGGGGTTAGGGTTTAATTCGGGTATGGGGTTTAGGGTTTAGGGTTTAGGGTTTAGGGCTTAGGGCTTAGGGCTTAGGGTCGATGTACCTATATAGTATGTACTTGGCCCTTAAAGGTGTTCCCATATAGCCCAAGTATGTAGTATATAGGTACATGGACCCTTAGGGAAACACGGAGGAGTCGTCTTTCAAGATTCCCCGCAGGTCTCTGGCAGATGGGAAACCTAGACTTTCAGGGAGGTGGGGTTTCGGGGTTCAGGGCTTCTAAACCCTAAACCCTAAACCCTAAACCCCAAACCCCAAAGAAGACAACGGCGAAAATGCTCCTCTGGCTTGAGGCCAATGCCCTCCACCTGCAAGAAGGGGCGTCCCCTCAAGTTCGAAGTACACTAACTATATGTTAGGGTTTCGGGTTGAAGGGCTTATCGGGCTTAGGGCTACGTGGGTTCTAGGTCACGCTATTTAGCCTACAGTTCCCTTAAAGGTATCTATAGTGTTTAAGGTTCAGGGTTTGGGGCTACGTGGGCTACATGTCATGCGATCTAGGTTACACGTCACTGAAGATATCAGAACTTGGCAGCCCTTCCACCATATCATAATAAGGGTACCCTTTTTGGGGTTGGTTACTTTATAAGGAGCTCAGAACCACAAAAGAAAGGGTAAGGGTACCACTGGGCTAGCAATTACAGTTCCCTTGAAAAGGTATCTAAAGTTTTTGCTCAGAATCAGGGCACCCCTAGCCTACTTGTGGATACCCTAACACTAAACTCTAAACCCTAAACCCTAAGCCCTAAACCCTAAACCCTAAACTCTAAGCCCTAAGCCCTAAGCCCTAAACCGAACCCTAAACCCTAAACCCTAAACCCTGAACCCTAAACCCTAAGCCCTAAACCGAAACCCTAAACCCTGCGTGCCGTGGCCACCCTGGGGCTCGAGGAATATCAGGGGATTTGGGGCGTTGGGTCTAGGGTTCCAAGAAGGTTTAGGGTTTAGGGTTTAGGGTTTAGGGTTTAGGGTTTAGGGTTTAGGGTTTAGGGTTTAGGGTTTAGGGTTTAGGGTTTAGGGTTTAGGGTATAGGGCTTGTGATATAGCCCATATATACACTGTTAATGAGGGTTTGGGGGTGCAAGGCTTCTGGCATTTTTAGGGGGGTCACAAGGGCCTTAAAATGGGTTGTAAGCCCTCACTTTTCAAATATTCCCTTCACTACAGTTAGTAGAGTAGAGGGGCCACTACTTGTACACAAACGACGGTTTAGGGGGTTCAGTGCTGCGAGAACTTGAGGGATTTAGGGGCCCAACCCTAAACCCTAAACCCTGAACCTTAAACCCTGAACCATAGGCTCTAGGGTTTGAAGTTGCTGTAAAAACCCTAGCAACCCTGTGAGCCCCTAAACTCCATTTCTGACCCTAAATCCTGAACCCTGTATACTTGGTAGTGCAGTAACTAATCAGGGTACCCTTTTTTGGGGTTGGTTACTGTATATAAGGGAACCTTGAAGCAAAACAGGGAAAAGGGTACCACTGGGCTACCAAGGAATTATGGTAGTATCCTATTCCCTAAACCCTAAACCCTAAACCCTAAACCCTAAACCTCAGAGGGTCCAAGGTACGAAGTCGTCAAAGAACTCGACCACTTCCTCCAGCAGCTCCGCCCCCTGTTCGGCGCACCACTCCTGAAGCACCACAGTGGGGTTTAGGGTTTAGGGTTTAGGGTTTAGGGTTTAGGGTCTAGGGTGTAGGATTGAGAGTTAAGGGTTTAGGGCTTACCTGGGCACGGACCTAGCTACTCTCTCTCTCCCTAAACCCTAAACCCTAAACCCTAAACCCTAAACCCTAAATCCTAAATCCTAAACCCTAAACCCTGGGGAGGGGGCAAGGGCAGACTCCACGCCTACTGAAACCCATTGACAGAGCAGGTCCTCCGCCGCCTCCACGTACTGGCTCAAGCCAGCCTCCTAGACAAGGGTTTAGGGTTTAGGGTTTAGGGTTTAGAGTTTCGGGTTTAGGGTTTAGGGTTTGGGTTTAGGGTTTCGGGTTTCAGGGTTTTAGGGTTTAGGGTTTCGGGTCCCATGGGCGGGGGGGGGGGGGGAGGCGGTTTGAGGGCAAGGGGAGACTACACTCTCGAAGATTCTAAAGCCCATGATCCCTTTGAAGCTTTCATTGGTTTAGGGTGTAGGATGCGGGTTCAGGCTTGCATGAACAAAACGCCCACAGCCCCAAATGCCCGAAAACCTTGATACTCTGAACTCCAAAGCAGATAATCCCTATCCCCGGTCAAACAAAAAACGCTTTGACCCCCATGCCCTAAACCCCACACCCTGAACCCTACCTGAAAATAAGAAGGCCCCAAACTCCTCAACAGCCTTAAGCCCTGTAAGACCTACAAGTAGGGGCCCCCAAGTAAAAATAGTGTTGTAAGTACCCTTTTGTGGGTCATACGTCTTCCGATTTAGGTTGTTTACTGTTAGAACTCCCTGAACTAAGTTAGTCCTAAACCCTAAACCCTAAACCCTAAACCCTAAACCCTAAGCCCCCCCCAAAAAAGGGCCTGAAGCGCGGAGGCGAGGTCGGCGAGACCCCCCTCTTCGGGCAGTCCCTCCTCATCGGCCTCGTGGTAGGACCCTCGAAGGGTGTAGGGTTTAGGGTTTAGGGTTTAGGGTTTAGGGTTTAGGGTTTAGGGGTGTAAACTTACAGACCTAAATCGGCCCCGCAGTCTGTTGGACTTGCTACAAAGCTTCGTATGCCCAAACCTTTGGACCGTGTAAGCCATATGCACTGCTACCGAAACCTTCAGACCTCAGCTCTACTGTACCCTCTGGACTCGAACCCCCCCCCAAAAAAAAAATCAAGAATAATAAAAGAAACGAAACATACAGCATGGCCAAGCTTGGCCCAAAGAGGTTAAAACAAGAGACGCTTAGATGCCCCGAAAACACAAAAACGTTGGTTGGGGGGTTGCAACTTGCCAAAGATGAAAGCTTATCTCCTGGGCTACAAATATGCCTTAACAACCCGAATCGCAAAACGGTAAAACTCTACGGGTAACATGATGTAGTATGGGCATGGGGCCTAAACGCCTAGCCCTCAAGAAAGGGGAAAAGGGCCTTCTCTGGGTCCAGACTCTGAATCTGAAGCCCCAAGCCACCGAATGCCTCCCAACACAAAACACGAAGTCAAAAGCTAAAGTTCGTAGCGTACTTGGAGGTTCACGAATACTTCTAACCCCAACTATAACTGTACTTGCAAGGTCCCCTGGGTCCTGTAAGTAGGTTGTGAGTAGACTTATGATTGGAGTTCTAAGTACCCTGAACCCTGAACCCTGATTGGCAAATTGGGGTTGCAAGTATGCCTGAACCTCCAAGTACGCCCTAAGCCCCAAACCCTAAACCCTAAACCCTAAACCCTAAGCCCTAAGCCCTAAACCCTAAACCCTAAACCCTAAGCCCTAAGCCCTAAGCCCTAAGCGCTAAGCCCTAAGCCCTAAACCCTAAACCCTAAACCCCAAACCCTATTCTGTGTAGACCCCGAACCATTCGCTGCGCTGCCTCGACTGGACCTTCCTTGGGCGCAACCTCCTCGGCCTCCTCCCACAAAGGCTTTCAAAGGCTAGGGTTTAGGGTTTAGGGTTTAGGGTTTAGGGTTTAGGGTTTAGGGTTTAAGGGTTAAGGTTTAAGGTTTAGGGTTAAGAGTTTAGGGTTTAGGGTTTAGGGCTTAGGGTTCAGGGTTTAGGGTTTGGTCTTTAGGGGTGTGAAGGGTTTAGGGTCTCAGGTGTAGGGTTTAGGGATTGCATTTGTTTTTTAAGAGTTGGTGCTCTGACAGATCTATGGGCGGGGGGGATTGCCATCTGCCTCGTCCCTGGCGAGTCGACGCTCTAGGGCGCCTTTAAAAACCTACATGTGTATGGGCGATGGTGTAGGGTTGTGGGTTTAGGGTTGAGGGTTACAAACCCTAAACCCTAAACCCTAAACCCCAAACCCTAAGCCCTAAACCTTAGTAAGTGGATGAGCAGGGTGGGTTATGGGGTTTTTAGGCAGGTTTCTAGGGGATGTTAGGTAGACTACGTAACTACGTCAACAGAGCATCTAAGCATGCGTTACTTATGGGGACTAGCATGCCCATCATAGAACTTGAGGGTTTAGGGTTTAGGGTTTAGGGTTTAGGGTGCCCACATCCATCCCCCAGTATGAAGTGCTGAAGGGTCCCCATGCCAAAGCAAGACAAGAAGAGCGTGTGCACCGAGACTCAAAGCGACAAGCCTCCTATTCAAGCGGCCACGGTATGCCTGACTAAGCCACACGCAACGTCACAAAGCGCGATTGAACCCCCAAAGCCCTACACATACCCCTGAAAAGCCGAAAAATAGTAGGCTCGAACTCCCCAACTATGTTTTGTCAACACCCCCGACAACTTAGGAGGATAAATCACGAGGTCAACCAACACTCTTCTTTCAACCCCATGTACATAAACCCTGTAACCCCTCCATAAACCATATGGGTAAGTATATAACACAACCCTAAACCCTAAACCCTAAACCCTAAACCCTAAACCCTAAACCCTAAACCCCAAGACCAAAAGCAAGTCCTCAGCTTCTTCGTCTTCTCTCGGCATGGGCGCCGCGGCCGCGGCCGCGAGCGGGGCGCTGGCGGCAGCCAGGGGAGGTGCTGCTTTGGCTGCCGCCAGCTCGGCCTCCAAAGGATTTAGGGCCTACAAGGGTTTAGTGTTTAGGGTTAGGGTTGCGGGTTTAGGGTTCAAGGTTTAGGGTTTCGAGGGTTAGTGGGGGGGGGCTTAGAGGGTTGTTAGGCTTTAGGGCTCAGTGGGCGTGCTTTGATCAAGTAGGCTGTGAAGGGTTTAGAAGGTCTGAGTCCGGGTTTCCAAAACCCGAAACCCTAAACCCTCAACCCGAAACCCTAAACCCTAAACCCTAAACCATGAATCCCCACCACTGTGCACCTTGAGCTGCTCCAGCTCTCGAGCAGAGGAAGCACCTCGAGAGGGGGTTTAGGGTTTAGGGTTTAGGGTTTAGGGTTTAGGGTTTAGGGTTCAGGGTTTAGGGTCTAGGGTTTGGGGTTTAGGGTTTGGGGTTTGGGGTTTAGGGTTTAGGGTTTCGGGTTTAGGGTTGGGGTTTCGGGTTTGGGGTTTAGGTCTTGGGGGTGTGGGGTTTGGGGTTTGGAGGGGTTTGGGGCGAAAAGGGGGGCCGGGGGGGGGGGGGGGGGGGGGGGGGGGGGTGGGGCGGAACATTGAGACTCAAGATTTAAATACTGACTCTCACGAGTTCGAGCGCCTGGAACCAAGAGCCATATAGGGGCCTTAATAATTGGGATATTACAATGCAAATATAAAGGGACCACAAAGGAATCCAGCTGGTATATATACTCCGACCCCTATATTACCTGGGAATCCTGGGAATAGTGCCTCCAATCTTGGTCAACAGCAAAACGATTTTTGTTGAGACCCGAACTTTGGAACATTGAATCTCAAAAAAATCTGATCCTCCAGGAACTTAATTATTAAACCCTAAACCCTAAACCCTAAGCCCTAAACCCTAAACCCTACTACCCCAAACCCTACTACCCCAAACCCTAAACCCTTCCTTGGGCATCCTGATGCTTGCCTCGCAGGGAGAGGGGGGGGGGGGTGCACAAACAGAGACTCAAATGTCTTCAAATGCCCCAAGCCCTAAACCCTAAACCCCAAACCCGAAACCCGAAACCCGAAACCCCAAACTCGAAACCCTAAACCCTAAACCCTAACCCCTAAACCCCAAACCCTAAACCCTAAACCCTAAACCTTAATCCAAGGCACGAAGCTCCTCCAGCTCCGCCCGCAGCTTGGCAGCCTCGGCCGCGGCCGCGGAATCTTGGGCCTGCAGGGTTTAGGGTTTAGGGTTTAGGGTTTAGGGTTTGGGGTTTGGGGTTTAGGGTTTAGGGTATAGGGGAAAGGGTATAGGGTATAGGGTTTGGAAGGTTTAGGGTTTAGGAGGTTTAGGTGGTTTAGGACGTTTAGGGTTTTTAGGGTTTAAAGGGTGAAAAATCAGGTTTATAGGGCTCATAGGGTTTATAGGTTTCATGGGGTTTATAGCGCTTAACAGGGCTCCATAGGGTTCATAGGGTTTATAGGGTTTATAGGGCTTGTAGGGTTTATAGGGTTTATAGGGTTTATAGGGTGCATAGGGCTTACAGGCCGAAAACCATTTATAGGGTTTAGAGGGTTTACAGGATTTTTAGAGTTTATAGGGCTTAGGTTTGATTAGGGGTCTAGGGCAAGAGAATTGTAGAAATAGAAAGGGGTGCACTTTTTCGTTTAAAGAGCTTGTGGGAACTTGAATTCCAGTACAAAAGGAACAAAGGCTGACACTCCGCAAAGCACGGGCAGAACACAAAGCATCTCAAACCTTTTACTTCAGCCCTACACAACCAACTCCTAAACCCTTATCTCCTGAATCCTAAACCCCACCCCAAACAAGCAACCCTGAGTCTCTAAAACCTAAACCCCTAAACCCTAAACCCTAAACCCCTAAACCCCTAAACCCCTAAACCCCTAAACCCCTAAACCCCCAAACCTCAAACCCCTAAACCCCTAAACCCCTAAACCCCTAAACCCCTAAACCCCTGAACCCCTAAACCCCTAAACCCCTAAACCCCTAAACCCCAAACCCTAAACCCTTCCCCTGTTGAGCCCTCACCGCTCCCCCTCAGCGTTGCGGCTGTCCCACCTTCGCCTGGCCCTGCGCCTGCCGCAAGTCCTCCAATTATAGAGTTGTTAGGGGAGGGGGGTTTAGGGTTTAGGGTTTAGGGTTTAGGGTTTAGGGTTTAGGGCTTAGGGTAACCCAAGGTCCCCTGATACTCCCCACTACCCCCTTAAGGCTCCCAAAGCTTCCCTCAGGTACCAAACCCTATGAACCCCCCTTGCTTAAGAACCCTATACTCCAAGCTAATCGTGAGGCGGTGGCCTGAAGGAAATCAAAGGTAGGGTTTAGGGTTTAGGGTTTGGGGGGTAGGGTTTAGGACCGTTTAGGTTTTAGGGCTTAGGCCCGTTTAGGGTGTAGGGCTTAGAGTATAGGGCTCTTAAGGTTTAGGGCTACCCTACAAGAATAAAAAGACAGGAAGGGATCCAGCACCTTAAGCCGCAAGCCCCAGGTTTTTTGGGGTGTTTCGGAATGTTGTGCGAGGGGCTTAGAATTCTTTCGGGTTCTTTGGTGTTCGGTTGAGGGTGTTATGTTTAGGGTGTAGGGGGATTTGGGGATTTGGGGGGGTGGGGGGGGGGGGGGGGGGGGGGGGGGGGGGGGGGGGGGGGGGGGGGGGGGGGGGGGGGGGTCGCCGGAAACAAAGAAGTTGAGTTCGACGGGAGTTGGTCTAGTGGTAGACACAAAACCCTGAGGGTCCATGTACGTCATTGTTATATATCTGGGCCTCAAAGACCCTCTATAGGAAGTACTTTATAAGGCCCCAGTATTGCCCTATTTATCCCATAGGGTCCATGTGCCTATATAGCAGATACTTGGGCTTCAACGGGGTTCCTATATGGCCTTGTACTGTCTAGGTCAAACCCTGCACGCCATCCCTAAGCCCTACAAACCCTAAAGCCCTAAAGCCCTAAAGCCCTAAAGCCCTAAACCCTAAACCCTAAACCCTAAACCCTAAACCCCTAAACTTCAAGGGTCTTCGTTCCTGCGCTGGCTACACGGTCTCTGGGTTCGAACGGCCTTTGCCATAAAAAAAGTGTTAAAACGGCTTGTATTAAAGCTTGTATTGCCGCATGGCTCCAAGTGCGCCCTGCGGTACTCAACTGAAGCTAGAACCGGGAGTAATCTAGGAATAAAAAGGGTACCTTTATTGGCTTTAAGGGGATTATAAGGGAACCCCAGCCCTGAAAAAGGAAAAAAAAAGGCCTACTCCCGGTCCTAGGAAGCAAGGGTTGACTTCTTTGAAGTCAGGAACCCTACACAAAGCAGCGAAAGTGAGGAGTCAATGTTCAGGCAGGGGGGGGCATAAGATCGTTCAGAAGTTTATCCCAGTTTATGCTATTGCAGGCCTTCCTTTCCCGGCCTGAGTGCTGCCCCTGTGATTCGCCGTGGCTCAAGATCCGCTCGTCTGCCCCTCAGACCCCGAAGATTTTGCCGAAGTTGACGGAGAACTCGTTGTCGAAGACCTTGACACCGACGGTCTTGCCAATCTTCGCACCACAGCCGCAGAAGGACGCGTCCAAAGTTCCATCCTTGACCATGGCCCCTGTGCTCACGCCGACACCAAGGTTGAGCTTGACCGGGCCTGCCTCGACATTCGCCAAGTTGGCTTTCAAGGCGACTTTGGCGCCCAAGCAGTCTCCGGCGTGCTCTGGCGGCTTGAGGAAGCCGTTAACAGCATCCCAGCCACCCTCAGCGCCGGCCTCGACACCAAGCAGCTTGGCATTCACGGGCATGTCTCCCCCTGCATGGACGCGGAAGGCATGAGCGCTGCCCTTGACTCCAAGGCCACCGTCACCCGCCACCACCTCGCCCAGCACTTCCCCTGCGGAGAAGTTCATGCCGCCGGCAGCGCGTGCACCACCCCTTGCGTACACCTTCCTTAGTAGCCCAGTAACCATATTATAACAAGGGCACTTCTTTTTTGGTGGTTACTTTAGAAGGGAATCCAGAAGCCAAAAAAAGGGTAAAGGGCACCACTGGGCTCCCAAGCTTCTGTGTGGGAGCTCCCGACTCCTTTGCGTCCGCCTTCTGCTTGGCTTCGCGGTAGACTTTCGCCTGATCATTTCTGTAGCCGCCATGCGTAGAATGCGCGGTCGGCATAAGGTCTGGGAACTCTGCGGTACTGGTCTGTTGCCGAACCGCCTTAAGCTAAGATTGAGCCTGGAACTAATGGGGGGGACGGGAGCTTTGCGCTTTTGAGTTTGGTCCGAATCAAGCCCGAGACCCAAACCCCTACTCCCAAAACACACAACGCGCCCCAAAACACTCCAAACAGCCCAAACTTCCCTTGCCTCAAAACACCTCAAACACAACAAGCACCTCAATCCGAAAACCTAAACCCTAACCCTCTATACCCCAAGCCTGATAGTTCGGGGTCTTCCTCCCTCTTGTCAGGCATTGGGGGCTTGGGATTTGGGCTGACGGTTGGCTCACGGTTTAAGCTTCAGGGTTTAGGCTTGAGGGTATAGCCTTAGTATTCGGGTTTACAGCCGACCTGGAATTGGGCAGTAAACCCTAAACCCTAAACCCTAAACCCTAAACCCTAAACCCTAAACCCTAAACCCTAAATTTAAACACCTTTCCGAAATTGGAACTTCAGTGGCACAGGTGCAGCGGTTCTGGGTTGCATCCAGGGGTTTAAGGTTTAGGGTTTAGGGATTGGGGTTTAGGGTTTAGGGTTTAGGGTTTAGGGTTTAGGGTTTAGGGTTTAGGATTTAGGGTTTAGGGTTTAGGGTTTAGGGTTTAGGGATTGGGGTTTAGGGTTTACTTGCAGGTTCAGGGTACTTCTAACCCCAACTACAACTGTACTTGTAAGCCCCATGAGTCCTCTCATGTCAATTTCATTCTGAAACACTAGATCCTAAACCCTAAACCCTAAACCCTAAACCCTTCACCCTAAACCCTTCACCCTAAACTTGCCGGGGGCTCCTGAATCCCTGCAGTTCCCCGACAAAAGCACTGAAGTCCCCTACTTAAAAGCTCTTGTATCCCCTAGAAACTTTTTTTAGAATCCCCCTAACCCACCTTACTAAGCCTACTAAGTCGAAAGGGCTTCCAAGTAGCCCTAAACCTTCAACCCTAAACCCTAAACCCTAAACCCTAAACACGTCCTCCACTTCGCTGGCCAGGCGTTCCTTTTCCTCCCGGGCCACTTCCGACTGGCGCTTCTCCTCCTCGAGGGACGCGGCCACCTCCACACCAACAGTGTCGGATTAAAGAGTGTTTAGGGTTTAGGGTTAAGGGTTTAGGGTCTAGGGTACCTGCTGAACTGCGGTGGCAGAGGGAAGGGAGTTCGTGCACTGTTTTCTTCTTCCCTGGCTCGGGCGCAGAGCTTCAATACAGTTCCGAGCAGTTACTGGCAAACACGCAAAAACTGGCAAGATTTAGTTTAACATACATATGTATATATGTATATATATATATATACACTTATTTTGTCGTATCTATTTTTCGTTAAGTAGTTTTAGTTGTCCGCGGCGTATGTTCCAGAAAGGTTTGTATCCTCATTTTCTTTCAAGCATGTATCAGGGGGGGGGGGTATGCAGGGTGGGATGCCATACCAATAAATGAGGGAGCAAGGTGCTGTCACCTGACGGTTGTCCAGAAAAAAGCTGAAACAATAGAGTCAAAGTAAGCCCGAAATAGCATCAGAAACGAAAACGAAACTTCCTCATCACAAACCCGCAATAAGTTCAAGATAAGTCTTGCTTCGGGCCTATTTTGGTTGTATAGTATTTGTTCAAGAAGACTTTTGCCCCCAGAACGCGCGCTAGTTCTGGGTTATTCTCTGGCCCAGATGAGCTCAGGAATTACCCTTCCCTGGGGCTCCATGTAGCTATATCGAAGAAACTTGGCCCTTAAAGGGGTTCCCATATAGTAGCTTTAGGGCCCAAGTATATACTATACAGGTACATGGACCCTTAGGGCTTAAATAACCATGGCATCCCCCCCTTTTCACGGATTTCGTGAATTTACATTTCGAAAAAAATCATGAACATCGTTAGGTAAGTATACTGAAGCATAAACCTACTATAACAGCACATATGTTCGGCTTATGTGAACTCTTTCGAACTGAAACACTAGGTTTCTGTCCACAGCTTCCTCTACAAGCCAAACGCGACAGCACAAAAAACAACTGCTGAACTACAGTCTACAGTGGCTTCGCAACTATACAAGGGGGAGGGTACAATACAAGGTACCTAGTTCCCTACGGCCCTACTAAGAACCAGTAAATATGCCTCTAAGGTGTATGGACACAAAAGCCCTCATTAAACGACTTCTTCAGACCTTTAAAATATCATGTGCCCTGTGCTGCTGCTTGAGACTCATGACGCTTATAACAGGTCATACGCCCTGATAACAAACACAGGGCGCCACTAGGCACCCTAGTAAGAAACCCTCTTAGAGTTCATGTAGACCCCAAGGAACATACCTAAACCCTAAACCCTAGACCCTAAACCTAAACCCTAAACCCTAAACCTTATAAACCCTAAACCCTAAACCCTGACTGAGCAGAGCCGCCTGGTCCAACTCTTTCTTTGCAGCCGCCGCCTTCGTCCTCTCCTGAAGGTTCAAGGGACTAAAGGAGGGGCCCTTACAAGGGACCTTAGGGCGTATTTAGGGATTAGGGCTTAGGGTTTAGGGTTTAGGGTTGAGGCTTTAGGGTTTAGGGTTTCGGGACAAAATAAGGTATTTAGGGGCTACTTAGGTATTTAGGGACTATATAAGGTATAAGGTTTTTAGGAGAATAAAATGAAGGGTGCCTTCTAGGGGTCTCTTCTTTTACCCCTTAGAAGGTGCAAGCGTTGGCATCCCTGAGCCTTGTAGCCTTGGTAGGGTTTAGGGTTTAGGGTTTAGGGTCTAGGGTTTAGGGTTTAGGGTTTAGGGTTTAGGGTTTAGGGTTTAGGGTTTAGGGTTTAGGGTTTAGGGTTTAGGGTTTAGGGTTTAGGGTTTAGGGTTTAGGGTTTAGGGTTTAGGGTTTAGGGTTTAGGGTTTAGGGTTTAATGTTAGGGTCGCTTTAATAAACCCCCCCCCCCCCAAATCTTGTTTTGGTCCCCGGGGCTTGGAGGGGGTGGAAAAAAAGAGGGGGTGTCAATTATGAGGATTCTGGGGGTCTGGGGTCTGGGGGTCTGGGGGGGGTCAGCTGTCAGGGACTCTCAAGCCATTTTCAGTAAAATTTTCAATTCCTGGCCAGAGAAATTTTACAATTGCCACCCCATTCTTATTATCACCGGACCCCCCTATATAGACTTGTTTACATACATCGGCCCGAAAACCTCCCGTAATGGAAAGTAGTCTTCGGCTGGGGCCCTCTGGCCTGGCGAATATTACTATTGCCACCCCAATTAAAAAAGCCACCCTCACATTAGGGTTTAGGGTTTAGGGTTTGCAAAACAATGCTAACAGTGACACACCGCTGGGCTTGGAGCGTGGGTTCGCTGCGTGGATCTGAGGGCCAGTACTGCAACACCCTAAGGGTCCTAGGGTTTAGGGGTCCATGTACCTAAATACAAGGTTTAGGGTTTAGGGTTCAGGGTTTAGGTTCTTTTTGGTACCTAAATCGGGAATACTTGGGCCTTAAAGTACCCTCTATTTAGGGACTTTAGGGCCCAAGTACATAATCATGAGGACATGGACCCATAGGGATAGAGTGCGAGAACCTTTTCAAACACAGATCGGCTTGCAATGGTCTGTATCTGGCGTCAACCACCCTGACATGGGGATTTACGAAACCGGGGGGGACCCCAAACTAGACCCCAACGTAGCAGCAATGAGGTACCCTGAACCCTGAGCCCTGAACCCTAAATCTTCAACCCTGAGCCCCTAAACCATCAATCCTAAACCCTAAACCCGAAACCCTAAGCACCCCGAAATCTGAGGGCCTCGGACAGCTCGGCGTTCGTCGTCTCGGCTCTGCTTCGCTCCTGGCTGTAGGGTTTAGTTAGGGTTCAGGGTTTAGGGTTTAGGATTCAGGGTTTAGGTTTGGGGTTTCAGGCATTAGCGTGTAGGCGTTTAGGGTTCAGGGTTTAGGATTCAGGGTTTCGGGTTTCGGGTCCAGGGTTTAGGGTTCAGGGTTGGCATGTGGGGTTCGAGAAACTTGTAGAAGGAGGCTACCAACCGACGGTGCGCTACCAACCCACGCCGCGTGCATCCATCAACGAGACCCACAAGGATCCTCAGGGCACTAGCAAACAACGATTAAAACACCTCTGCACAATGAAGTCTCAACCCTAAGCCCTAAACCCAACACTAACCTTACATCATGGTCCCGTCTTTGGTCCTGAGGGTCCTTACCTCGCATGCCGCACTAAGAACCAGGGTAAGTTCTACGCAGGGCGGGGGGACCAGACAACAGGTTCAGAGCTTGGGGTTTAGGATTTAGGGTTTGGGGTAACCCTAAACCCTAAATCCTAAATCCTAAACCCTAGACCCTGTTTATGTCTAGGTTTCGGGGAGTTCGGGGTTGCGGATGTGATTGAGGAGGGTGCCCGCCAGCAACGCCAGCGTGCGGTCAGTGCCGCAAAGCCCTTGTGAACCTTAAACCCCTAGTTGGAGGTTCATGGGTACTGATAAGCCCAATTACTTGTATCAGTTTACCTGTAAATTATAACCAACTTGGAGGACTTAAGGGGCTCATCAGTACAGTTCTAATTGGGGTTATAAGTAACCTTCAAGTTCGTAGGCAAAACGATGTACCTGAATAGGATATGAAGACCTGGTCATTGGCTATGCAGAGACTGTTGGGGCACACAGCCCCCCAAATTCGGCCAGAAGCCCTGAAATGAACCCTAAACCCTAGCCCTAAACCCTAAACCCTAAACCCTAAACCCTAAACCCGGAAACGCAACCTTCAAACCACCTGCCAAGGGGGCAGGGAGGCCTCCTGAAGCTCGCTTTTCGTAGCCTGCGGGCCGTGGTATCGGCTGGAGGCGGCTTTGCTTTAAGGACTTGACAAGGTTGGATCCTCCTAAGCCCAATAATCAGAAAAAAAACTAAACCCTATAAACCCTAATCCCTAGACCCTACATCCAAAGGGGCCTGCTTTAAGGACTTGACAAGGTTGGATCCTCCTAAGCCCAATAATCGGGAAGAAAAAACAGTCCCAAGGGGGCCATGGTTTAGGGTTCAGCGTTTAGGGTTTAGGGTGTTTAGGGTTTAGGGCTTAGTTATGTGTAGGGTTTTAAGTTGGAGTCTAGCAGAGTTGCGCAACAGGATTCAGGGCTTGGGTGCTTAGAGTTTAGGGTGTAATAGAGGGGCCTTAATAATTAGAGAACAGGGATTTGGAGGTGATTAGTATAAGTATAAAGGGACCATAAGGGAATACTCTTATAACAATTCTTCCGACCTCTATGTAGTAGTGAGCTTGGGTGCGGACACACCTCCCCCCCACCCCAGCAAGATTGAACTCTAAACTCTTGGAGCTCAGGATTTTCAGCTTTTCAGGCTTGGGGTTTCGGTTTAGGGTTTAGGGTTCAGAGTTTCTGGAAGATTTGGGGCTTGAGGCGGGGCATCGAACCGATCCAAGGTAGGCCCAATGTTAAACTCTACACACCCTAAACCCTAAACCCTAAGCTTAAAGCTTGAACCCTAAGCCCTAGATGTTTAAATTATGCGTTCACCTGCGTTCCCTCCCGAGATCCTGAACCGCAAGACCCGGATGTTAAATTCCGCTGCATCTTCCAAGCCCAGACACACTGATCCCTACGCTTGAGACCTAAACCCGAAATCCTAAACCCGAAGAGTTAAATACGAATCCCGAAGCCCTAAGCCTTAAGCCTAAAGTGCCTAAAGCCTTAAGCCCTAAACCCTGGTGCCTCAGATCTGGCCCGCTCTTCCTCCAACGCTGTGGAGATCTCGGCGACTTTCTCTGCGTGCTCTTTGAGTTCCTTGGCAAAATTGCACCCTTGGTCTAGGGTTTGGGGTCCACAAAGCGTGGAGGAATTATAGGATCTGTAAAGGGTTTAGGGTTTAGGGTCTGAGGATGGCAATGGCTGGTTGTTGAGGGTTTGAAGGTTCGTGATCAGGGATTAGGGTTTAGGGTTTAGGGTTTAGGGTTTAAGGTTTAGGGCTTCGTGTTACACATGCCCGACACCCCAAATCCGAAAACTAACCCCAAGCCACACTCCCAAACGTGGGTTTCGGGCCTGATAAGGGTGACAAAAGCAAGACTCCATAAAGCGACATCCGCTAAAAGCACACTTAACCCCAAGCCCCTACCCCAACACAAAACCCCAAGTCTTAAACGCGTCAACCAATAGCCCCAACCCTACTCGCAACTCCTAACCTCTGACGTTTTGAACTCTAAAGCAACGAAACCTCAAACCCCAACCCCCAAAAACACGTTTAGGCAGTGCTCAGACGATGAGGGTACCACCAACGCCCTTTCTTGGTAGCCCAGTACCATATGATAATAAGGGCACCCTTTTTAGGGTTGGTTATTTTATAAGGAAACCCATAACCAGAAAAAGGGTAAAGGGTACCACTGGGCTACCCAGGCTTTCAACAGAGGCTAAGACTAAGAGTCCAACAGGCGAGCACGGTGCCATGGGGCTTCCTGCAACGTAGCTTAAACGACTAGCCCCCACCCTTAAAAGCCTAAACCCTAAACCCTAAACCCTAAACCCTAAACCCTAAACCCTAAACCCTAAACCCTAAACCTTCAACCTTCAAAAACACAAAGCAACAAACGCCCAGTGTCGGACGTCAATGCCGCTTCGGAGTCGCCGGCCTGGGCCGCCAGCGCCTCCTTGTCGGCGGCTGAGCGCGCTTGGAGGTCCTCCGCGAGCTTAGGAGGGTTTAGGGTTTAGGGTTCAGGGTTTAGGGTTTAGGGTGCGAAGGATACTAAGGGCTATAGGGTTTAGGGTCCCTACATGGCTCTTCTCGGGAGATCAGGCTATTTAGGGTTTAGGATTGAGGGGTGAGAGTCGCTGTTCTTAGGACCCTAAACCCTAAACCCTAAACCCTAAACCCTAAACCCTAAACCCTAAACCCACTTAGGGTCCCTATATGGTTCCTCATCTCCGACATATCCAGGCGCACCCCTGCTGGCTCAAGCCCCTAAACCCTCAACCAAACCCTAAACCCGAAACCGGCACATTGACCCTGCGGTTTCTAAACCCTGCTCGGTGCGTTTGGAATCAACGATGGGCAACCAAAGGATTAAGGGTTCCAAGTTTGCGGAACGGTTCCATTGCATTGGGGTTGAGGCCTTCGGTTTTGAAGGGAGCAGATGAGGGATTTAGGGCTTGAACATTGCAATTCTGGCGGAACCATGAACCAGTGAAGTACTTCGTTTACTGGATGAATCTGCTGCCTTGCCTATCCGTACTTCATAGACCTCGAACTCTAAACCCTAAACGCTGAACCCTGAACCCTGAACTCTGCCCTGCAGTCCTAAGGCCCTGGAAAGCCCTCTGCCCAAAACCCGACATACACCTTATAAAGCCCGAAATAATCTACGCCCTAAACCCTAAACCCTAAACCCTAAACCCTAAACCCCAAACCCTAAACCCTAAACCCTAAACCCTAAACCCTAAGCCCAAAGCCCAAAGCCCAAAGCCCAGCCCGACCTCCAGCTTTGAGCGCAACGCCTCTGAGTCGGCCTTCTCTTTTTCGAGCTGTGCCGCCACCTTGCAATTCCAGGGTGGAAACTTTAGGGTTTAGGGTTTAGGGTTCTGGATATATATAGGGTGTAGGGTTAAAGGTTTAGGGCTTAGGGTTTAAGATTTAAAGGGTCAATCGGGTTTGGGGCTCAGGATTTATAGTAGGGTTTTCAAAGTCGTGTCTACAGCGTTTGGGGGTTTAAGGCCTATGCGGGTTCGGGTTTAACGCTTGGAGAGCTCTTCCGGATCCGAGACGGGGTGCCCAAAATCCAGGTGGCCCAATCAGCTGTGCGTGTAAAAATTGGGGGGGGGGGGGTCCTATTGTTGATGGGTTAGGGTTTAGGTTTATCTTAGCTTTGGAGTAGACCCTGGAAAAAAGTATACACTTTTTAGGTATAAGAAGCGATAATAGGAATCCAGAACCAAAAAAAAGTATTAAAGTATAGTACTCCAAAACCCAGTTATTGAATTGGAGTGCTAAGAGATCCCAGCGCCAAGTGTAGGGTTTAGAGGGTTGAGGGTTTAGACCCCAGAGATCTAGGAATAGAAAGAGTGAGCCAAAACGGGGCTCGATAAGGGAAGCTCCCTAAAACCCGAAACCCTGAAAACAAAAGGAATAGGGTTTAGGGTTTAGGGTTTAGGGTTTAGGGTTTAGGGTTTAGGGTTTAGGGTACTCTGGGTCCCAGGTGTATGGGGCTTAGGGTGCTGCAGGGCATCTTACTTCCTCACATCCAAGCCCAGCACAGGGCTCGGGCTGTAAAGCCCAGAAGTTTAGGGTTTAGGGTTTAGGGTTTAGGGTTTTTTCGAGTTTAGAGTTTAGAGTTCATGTTGGAAAGGTCCTCCGCGCCGATTGAACACGGTTTACGGTTTAGGGACGCACCCTTGGCTGGCCTTCAGCTCGCTCTTCTCACAAGCGGCCAGTAGCTTCGGCTCTCAGCCTTCATCCTCTTAACTCGCATTTCCATAAAACAACCTAAACCCTAAACCCTAAACCCTAAACCCTAAACCCTAAACCCTAAACCCTAAACCCTAAACCCTAAACCCTCTCAAGACTTCAAACTCGTAGTGGGTCTCAGCCAATCGGAGCTTCACGGGCATCTTCCGCGGGATGTTGAAGCCCATGCAGCTGATTCGGGACGGCCTCCACCTAAACAAGAACCTAACTCTGGAACTCCTAAACCCTAAAACCCTAAAGCCCTAAAACGATCAAACTCTCAAACCCTCAAACCCTCAAACACTAAAACCCTAAACCCTACACCCTAAGCAAACCTAAAAACCCTAAAACCCTACACCCTCAAAACCCTAAACCTCTAAAACCCTGAACCCTAAACCCTAAGAAAAACCTAAAACACCCTGAAACACCCTTAAAAACTCTTGGCCCTAAGCCCTATAAACCCTAAAACCCTAAACCCTGCGGCCCAAAAACGTCCGAGAGCTGCTGGCGGCCGTCGCTCACTTGGGCCTCGTAGTCCTTGAGGGAGGCCTGCGCCTGGGCATGCACATCTCTTGGGAGTTTAGGGTTTAAGGTTTGGGGTTAGCTTGGGGCTTTGGGGTTTTTAGGATTTCCTAAACCCTAAGCCCTAAACCCTAAACTCTATGTGCAGGGCTTAACTTAGGGTTTCAGGGGCTTGGGTTTAGGGACATGCAGTTCAGGATTTGGCTGCTGGATGTCAAGCTCTGTTCAGCCATGGTTGCTTTCATGGCGGGCTTTAGAAGGAACCTGGCCGTAGCTACCTTAAACCCTAAACCCTAAACCCTAAACCCTAAACCCTAAACCCTAACCCTAAACCCTAAACCCTAGAGCTCAAGGTTTGGGAGCTTAAGGGTTTGCAGGCTTGTGCTTTGCACCATCCATGCCATGCTCGAGAATCAAGGGAGATTTCAGGGCTCCAGGACTGGGGTTTAGGGTTTAGGGTTTAGGGTTTAGGGTTTAGGGTTTAGGGTTTAGGGTTTAGGGTTTAGGAATCGAAAGGCTGCCCCGTTTTGGAGAAAAAGGTGCTTAAAATAAGGGAACCTACACCACAAAAAGAAGGGAAGAAGGGTCTACTCTGGGTCCCAGAAGTTTATACACTAAGGCGCATGATTTTTGTTTAAGGGTTTAAGCCCCTACTAAACCCTAAAACCCGAAAACCCTAAAACCCCAAAACCCTAAAACCCTAAAACCCGAAAACCCGAAAACCGTAAAACCCTAAAAACCTAAAACCCTAAAACCCTGAAACCCTGAAACCCTAAAACCCTAACCCCCCGAGACAACCCAACCAAAAAAACACGAAGCCTCTGTTGCTTAAACCCTAAACCCTTAACCCCTAAACACCTAAACTCTAAAAACCCTAAACCCGAACCTCTCCCCCCCCCCCCCCCCCCCCCCCCCCCCGCCAAAAAAAAAAACATAACAACAACAAAAAGCGAAGCCTGCGTTGCATCGCCGCGCAAGGCCTCGGCTGCGAGCCGTTCGGCTTCCAGCTCCTTCTGCGCCGTGGAAAACCTCCGCCCAGCGGTTTGCGAATGGGATCTTTAGGGTTTAGAGTTTAGGGTCTAGGGTCACTTACATTCTACACTAGCTTCGCTTGGTAGCTGAGATCCTGGACGCATTCCGGGATCCCGAATAGCAGGTAAAATTTTCGAACCAAGATATGAGGATGTGAAGGTCCACGACCCTGAGCTTCAATGTCACTACGGAAAGCTAGAATGGGACCCAGCATGCCAGCGCCAGTCGAGGCTGCAGCTACACCGTGAGGCAAGCCTCGTCGGCATTCCAGTGTTTCTGGCCGAACATTTGAGGACGTACTGAAAAGAGATACGCATGAGAAGCTCGAACTGGACAGTCTGAGTCACCGGATCCTGTGCCATGCGACGCAGCATGTCGCGATGCTTTGGCAGTACGGTCCCCATGTCTGCGCTCACAGTTTAGGGAATGATGCCTCAAGTAATATGACTAAAAACCCACTTGAGGGCCCTTATAGCCCTACTCCTAGAGCTTGTAGCACTTCGGGAGTGAGGCTTAAGGCTTAGGATCTACAGGACTCAGTGATGCTTTACAGCTTCTAGAGGGTGATTGGGGCTTATAGAGGGCTTCGTATCGTAAAGCTGGTGGAACTTCAGGTTCAGGGGATTTAGGGATTTATGGGGGTAGGGTTAAGGGTTTAGGGCTTAGGGTGCTTATAAAGAATCAGGGCTTCCAGGGTTTTTTGGGCTTAGCGTTCGGACTTAGGGTTTGGGGGCTTATCGCCTTGTGACCTCCAGGAACTTCAGCCTTGCATGCGTGGGTAGGCTTTTACTCCAGAAGCCCCTGCAGGATCATCTCAACCCTGAAGCCGTGCACCTACCCTAAACCCTAAACCGTAAACCCTAAACCCTAAACCCTGAAATCTAAACTCTACAAGAGCATCTAAACCCTCAAACCTTGTGCCTTGCAGTCCTGAACCCCCTCGAGAAGCCCTGAGCGCGCTCATCCCCCTAAACCCTATAACCCTATAAACCCCAAACCTCAAACCCTAAACCCTAAACCCGAAACCCCAAACCCTAAACCCCAAACCCTAAACCCTAAACCCGAAACCCCAAACCCTAAACCCCAAACCCTAAACCCGAAACCCTAAACCCAAAACCCTAAACCCCAAACCCCAAACCCTAAACCCTAAACCCCAAACCCTGAACCCTAAACCCCAAACCCCAAACCCCAAACCCTAAACCCCAAACCCCAAACCCCAAACCCTAAACCCCAAACCCCAAACCCCAAACCCTAAACCCTAAACCCTAAACCCGAAACCCTAAACCCCAAACCCTAAACCCCGGGCGGCTTCTCGGTGAGGGAAGACAGCTCGGCGGAGGCGTTGCTCTGGGCGTCTGCGGCCTCCTGCGGCTTTAGGGTTTAGGGTTCAGGGTTCAGGGTTTAGGGTTTAGGGTTTAGGGTTTAGGGTTTAGGGTTTAGGGTTTAGGGGTCCCAGGAAGTTTTGACCCAATTTTTTACTGACTTTTGGAACTTTCTCCTTTCCAGGGCTTAGGGCGCACGCCTTTCGGGCCTTTGGCGCAGGGTTTAGGGCCTTAAGGTTTAGGGGGTGGCTTAGGGGGGTTTACGGGCTTTGAGGGGCTTAGGGGGTTTAAGGGCTTTGGGGGTTTAGGGTTTAGGGTTTAGGGTTTATGGTTCAGGGGCTTCAGGGTTTCGGGGGTTTAGGGTTTAGGGTTTAGCAGACAAGGTTTTTACAGATCTTGACCCTGAACCCTAGAATTAGAAGGTTCAGGCTTGCCACCAAGGGCTTGAATTAGGGTCTAGGGTTTAGGGTTTAGGGTTTAGGGTTCAGGGTTCACAAATTTACGGCTTAGCGGGCTTAACCTTATAGGCCCCACGTGACGCCGAAGTAGCTTAGAGAATTTTCAACTTGAGGAACATAGGGGCCTTGATAGTTAGAATAGGGTTTCGGGGGTTACTATAGTACAATTTTCTAGGGGCCACAAGGGAAGACTATTAGTATTTATTCCGACCCCTATATTATGTGGGGTGTATAGGGCTTAGGGTTCCACATGGTTCCAAGCCGCAACTGTGTTGCCGCAAACCCGGCCAGGCTACAATCCGGCGAGGACATACCTCTTAAGAAACCCCTGCCCTGCCCAAGATGATCTTAGGGTAGTTACATGGTCACTGAATATGGGCCCGTAAAAGCAGAACCCTTTTTATACCCCTTGTATACTCTATGCAGCCCAAGCGGCCATACTTCAGAATCTGTTAAAGAAGGTAAGGGACGATATTAGAGAGACCATGTTAAGAAAGGTGTACGCCTTTGGCCTTTGTTTATGTGCCCTATGTCCTCTCTAAAGCCCTGCACCCGAAATACCTGGTACCAGGGCCTGCTCTCTCTGATGCAGCTGTTCCTTGAGCTCCGTCTGCAAAGCCTGATCTGCTCGGCGCTTTGGGCTGATCCTCTCTGCTCCTTACAGTTTAGGGTTTCGGGTTTAGGGTTTGCGGGTTTTGGGTTTAGGGTGCTGCACCCAAGATCGGAAAATCTTCCAAGAACCCACCAGGCACCAGCTCTAAACCCTAGACTCCATGCACCGTGATTCTGAGGGCTCTACACCCTAAACCCCAAATCCTTAAACCCCAAACACCCTAAACCCTAAACCCCCAAACCCCAAACCCCAAACCCTAAACCCTAAACCCTAAACCCTAAACTGTAAGGAGCAGCCGAGCGGGGGCTCAGGGTCGCAGGGTTTGGGGCTCAGGGTCTCGTAAGCTCTTGACCTCAATCCTACCACCACAAGACCGAAAGTTAAGCAGCGCAGCTCCCCTAGCCCTAAACCCTAAACCCTAAACCCTAAACCCTAAACCCTAAACCCCTAGGCTCACAACTACTTCCCATGGTGTTGAGTTGCCTCGAGCTCTCCGATCTTGCGTAGGGACTCGTCGCCGTTCATCTGATAGTTCTGCTCCTGGCTTTTCCCTTAACCGCTGCAGGGTTTAGGCTTAGGGTTTAGGGTTTAGGGTTTAGGGTTTAGGGTTTAGGGTTTAGGGTTTAGGGTTTAGGGTTTAGGGTTTAGGGAGTATACTGGGGCATTGAAGTCGCTCCTTTGTGGTGACTTTGGGGCCCAAGTGTATACTCATTGGGCACATGGACCCTTACAAGTAGGGGCCCTAGGTTCTGAGTAGGGCTATGAGGGCCGAAGTGGGTCATAAGTCACGTTATTCATGTCAAAATTCCCTTAGGCTAAAGTTGGTAGAATAATTGAGCCCCGACTTATATAGGGTTTGCAGTGGTACCCCTGATGGACCTGACTATGGCGCCTAACTGCGCGTTCCCTAAAGAGTATCTCCACACCTCAGGGCACTCCTGGCAGAGCCCCATGACACCTTCGTGTAGCTCGAGATTTCGGGGCTTGATTGCAGTGAAGCTGCCCCATGAGGATGATATTGGGTTTAGGGTTTACGGTTTAGGGTTTAGGGTTGCAAGGGGAAAACTGCTGTGGCTTCGGTGTATGTCTAGGTCTGTGATGATTGGGGTGGGTGGGGGGCCTGTCGCGACAGCGTCTCGCGGAGATCCTGCATCTCCTGTGCGGCACGCCGGGGAGGGTTCGGGGTTTAGGGTTTAGGGTTTACAGTAGGGGATAGGATTAGGGGGACCCTTGGGGATATAGACCCCCTCAATAAGGTCCCTGTTTAAGAGAGCCACAAGAAGGTTCAGAAGGGTTCCTGTTTGAGGGTCCCCCATATCCTACCTGAAAACATGGCTTAGGGTTTTTAGGAGTTGTTGACCTCTGGCATGGATTCCCTTAAATCGCAAGGTACGGTGCGTTGGTCACAAAACAGGATTCCGTTCAACGAAGCCACCAAAAATGCAACAGTTTGGAAGCCCTAGACCCAAAACCCTCCCAATCCCTAAACCCTCCTAAGCCCGAAGCCCTAAACCCCAAGCCCTAAGCGCGAAACCCTAAACCCTAACCGACCCGACCCTAAACCCTAAACGCTAAACCCTAAACCCTAACCCCTAAACCTGGCCTGTTGCAGCGTCTCTTGGGCTTCCTGGTGCTTCGATGCAGCCGCGCTCCCGCGCTCCAACTCCTCAACAGAAGCACAGGCCCAAACCCTTAACAGCCATAACCCCAATCCCTAAACCCTAAACCCTAAACCCTAAACCCTAGACCCTAAACCCTAAACCCTAAACCCTAAACCCTAAACCCTAAACCCTAAACCCCAACACCCAGGCTTTAAAGGGCAGGTTGGGTCGTCGAAGATCGGGATATGCAGGAAGCTCCCAGGCAATCACACAGTGCGCAGCACATCATCCCGAAGTTCGCCCCCGCCCTCTCCCTCCCTGACTGACTCTGTCCTATACCCTAATTAAACCCTAAACCCTAAACCCTAAACCCCAAACCCTAAACCCGAAACCCGAAACCCTAAACCCAAACCCTAAACCCTAAACCCTACACGGTTTGGGCTTCGGGCCCAGGCGCCTGCGCATGCTCGCCTTGCCATCGCTCCACTTCCGCGAGCGCAGAGGCAACGGCCAGAGCCTGGAAGAGGGTTAGGCTTCCCAGCCTAGGCTTGGGGTTTAGGGTTTGGGGTTCTGGGTTTAGGGTTTAGGGTTTAGCTTTCCCAGCCTAGGCTTGGGGTTCAGGGTTTAGGGTTTAGGGTTTAGGGTTTAGGGTTTAGGGTTTAGGGTTTAGGGTTTAGGGTTTAGGGTTTAGGGTTTAGGGTTTAGGGTTTAGGGTTTAGGGTTTAGGGTTTAGGGTTTAGGGCTTGGGGCTTAGGATTTAGTGTTGCCCTTTCTCATTAAAACTTTCCTGTTGATAAGGGATCTGAAGCCTAGAAAGGGGTGAAGGGTACTACCCAAGTGTCCTAGTGTCCAGGAGGGGTCCCCTAGTTACAGGGCTTGGGGTCTTTTTGGGCGGCTTTTAGGGTTTAGGGTTTAGGGTTTAGGGTCTTTAGGGTTTAGGGTTTAGGGTTTAGGGTTTAGGGTTTAGGTGCTTAGGGCTTGGGGAGGTGTCGCCTATATCTCTACAGGCCTATGAAACCCTATTGATATTGACTCTAAACCCCAAGCACTCTCCAGGATGCCTTAAAACACCGGCCAACCGCCCCTAAACCCTAAACCCTAAACCCTAAACCCTAAACCCTAAACCCGAAACCCTAAACCCTAAACCCTAAAACCCTAAAACCCTAAAACCCTAAAACCCTAAAACCCTAAAACCCTAAAACCAAACCCCTGAGCCCCAAACCCAAAAGCTTAGCTAGACAGCTAGACCCCCTCTCAAGATCTCTCACGTAGCTTGTGGCCCTGGGCCTTGGCCTTGGCAGTGCCAAAGTGTATCCCGGCGGGTTTTGTCGCATTTCTGCCATCGCTCGCCCTGGCTGTCTCAAGCCACTTGTTCAGACTGTTCAGGAAGGTCGTAATCTTGCCTTGCGACGGCGCTCTCCTTATTGTTCCTCTTGCCCGGACAATTTGCGAAGCCGCACCTTGACAGCCGGCTGGCAAGCCAGGAACCGGCAAGTGCTGGGTTGGTTGGTTGGTTTGGGGTTTGGGGTTTGGGGTTTAGGGTTTAGGGTTTAGGGTTTCGGGTTTCGGGTTTAGGGTTTAGGGTTTAGGGTTTAGGGTTTAGGACTTAGGACTTAGGGCCATTTAGGGTTTAGGGTTTAGGGTTTGGGGCTGCTTCGGATTTAGGATAGGGTTCGGGTGTATACCCAACATCTCGCAAGCACGCACGCTCGTGGAGGGAAATGCATCGTGAACCAGAGCCGCTTTAGACCCTGAAACCCTGGTCAGGTGCCTCAGTTGAATACCCTAAACCCTAACCCTAAACCCTAAACCCGAAACCCTAAACCCTAAACCCTAAACCCGAAACCCTAAACCCTAAACCCTAAACTCTAGGCCTTGAGTGGTTAAGCATCTGCGCTTCTGCTCCTTCTGGAAAGAGAACGACGGGGGAACCCTTAAAGGTACGCATTGGGTAATGCAGGGTTCAGGGTTCAGGGTTCAGGGTTTAGGGTTTAGGGTTTAGGGCTTAGGGTTTAGGGTGGTCTGGGGTTTCGGGTCTAGGGTACTCTTGATGGGCTTGAATTGATGGGGCTGCCCTCCTTCAAGCTGGCTTCAGCTCCTGTTTGGGTCCTGGTGCTACCCCCTACCCCCCCCCCGCCCCCAACGTTTCACAGAGGCTCAAGCAAATCAACTTTTGGCATCCTTAAACCTTTCAACTATGCTCCAGCGGGATTCGGCGGCTTGAGCCGGAGGCTCTCAAATTATTATTATCATTTTTTTTTTTTTTTTTTTGGGGGGGGGGGGGGGCTCTTAAGCAATTCGTACATAAGGAAACCCTAACCCTAAACCCTGAACCCTAAACCCTATAAACCCTAAAACCCAAACCCTAAAACCCAAACCCTAAACCCTAAGATCCCAAACCTGCGAGCCCACGCCTTGGCAGACGCTGCATCCTCGGACTCCCGCAGCTCGCGCTCGAGATCGGTGGCCCTCAGGTGGGGAAGATTTCAGGCTCTTACGCCCAGTTTAGGGTTTAGGGGTTACGGTTACCCTTCAACCCTAAACCTTCAGCCAACTTACTGGTTAACCTGGTATGAGAAGGGGGTACACCGCGTTGGGGAACCCAACTCCCTCAAAATGCGAACAGCATGAAGGAAACAAGGATACCAACTGGGGGTCCTCGCCTAGGGACTCTACAGGGCTAGTCTTGAAAACCCTATCTGGAATAAGCTATGCAACGTTGTAGCCCGTAGACATCTGCATGGCCCCACCTATCAATTCCCTGCCCAGAGCAACCTGGGAAATCACTAGGGTTTAGAACCCTAAACCCTAAACCCTAAACCCTAAATAGGGTTTAGGGTTTTTGCATAACAAAACTCAGAATTGAGGTCGTGCTAACCCTGAATCTCCCTGTAAGAGCCGGTACCACCGGAGACCTACACCTTGTAAGCCTTGAATCCCATGATGCCAACCCTAAACCCTGAACCCTAAACCCTAAACCCTAAACCCTAACCCCTAAACCCTAAACCCTAAGTCATGTCCCAGCTGCTTTCGCTGAAGCGCCTCGAGCTCCTCCGTCGCATTAGAGAGCTCCTGTCGTTCCGGAGGGAATTGCGAGTCAGAAACGTTCTCAAGTCAAGGTTCTGGGAAGACCCCCCCCAAGTAACCCCAAGCTTAGGGTTAGGGTTTAGGGTTTAGGGTTGAGGGTTGAGGGTTTAGGGTTTAGGGTTTGGGGTTTAGGGTTTGGGGTTTAGGGTTTAGGGTTTAGGGTTCTAGGGTTTAGGGCTTTAGGGCTTTGTAGGGCTTATAGGGAAACGTTCAAGTCCAGGTTCTGGGGTTTCGTGTTTAGGTATGAAATGATAAGAGGTTTAGAGTTTAAGTTTTAAGGTGTTGTGTTTAGGCTTTAGGGTTTAAGGATGGATGGATAATTCAGGGAATTGGCGCTTTTGGTCTAGGGCTATGGGGATAGAGGAATTCAGGGCTGTTCCTTAGCAACCTCGAATCATGTGGTTGATAAGTCAGCTAGCCCTTATGCAAGCTGGACAAAGACGGAGGTTGGAAATGCGAAAAACCGGTTGACATGGGCTGATATCCGAAACCTGAAGCCGTAATGCAGGGGTCGGAATAACTACCAATGGTATTCCCTTAAGGTCCCTACAGAAGTGTACCCCCCCAAAAGACCCTATTCTCGTTAATAAGGCCCCAAAAGTATGTCCTCTGCACCCTGAGAACCCCGAGTTTCCACTTTTTGTAGGTTAGGCTTCCGTTTAGGGTTTAGGGTTTAGGGCTTAGGGTTTAGGCTTCAGGGCTGAGGGTTCAGAATCAGTCGACTCGGAATTTCTTCGCGGGCTCCTCCTTGGACGACTCCTCCCTTGCCGCCGCGGCCGCTCGATCCTGGACGTTTGGACGCCCATGACACAGACCCCCAAGACCCCTTAAGCAGCGAAGAGTTCGGAAAATCGAATAGAGATTCACATACCAAGCAGCGAGAAAAACATGGGTCATCACACCTAACCCCAAAAAATCTAAACTCTGAACCCTTAACCAAGGGTCAAGGGTTTCTGGTTTAGGGCTGGGGTATTCCCCCGGATACTAGCAGTCCTTAACAGGGAATATAGTACCCCCATTAAAATTTGTTTTAGGACTGCTGCCTAGCCCCTAAACCCTAAACCCTACGCTGCTAGTACAAGGGGGAACATCCCAAGGTTTAGGGTTTAGGGGTTTAGGGGTACTGCTGGCAATTATATATAAAGCTCCTACGTCTCCCCTAGGGAGCAGGTACCCATTACCGGTTTAGGGTTTAGGGTTTAGGGTTTAAGGTTTAGGATGAAACTGGGGTTCTGCATAGTTTCTAGGGGATTTCATTTGTTTAGGGTTTACAGTTTTATGCGTTGAAGCGGTTTAGGGTTTAGGGCTTAGGGCTTGGGGCTTTAAGGCTTAAGGCTTGAAACTCTAACCCTCAAACCCTAAACCCTCAACCCTAAACCCCTAAACCCTAAACCCTAAACCCTAAACCCTAAACCCTAAACCCTAAACCCTAAACCCTAAACCCTCAACTGCTGCTTTCGGGTTTGTGGCGCTCCTCCGCCCTCGTTTTCTCGAGCTCCTGGGCCGCGTCCTGGAGCTCCTGGCGGCGAAGGCGCAGCGAGGAAGCAAGCCCTGCTAGGGTTTAGGGTTTAGGGTTTAGGGTTTAGGGTTTAGGGTTTAGGGTTTAGGGTTTAGGGTTTAGGGTTTGGGGTTTAGGGTTTAGGGTTTAGGGTTTAGGGTTTAGGGTTTAGGGTTTAGGGTTTAGGGTTTAGGGTTTAGGGTTTAGGGTTAGGGTTTAGGGTTTAGGGTTTAGTTTAGGGTTTAGGGTTTAGGGTCTAGGGTTTAGGGTTTGGGGTTTAGGGTTTGGGGTTTAGGGTTTAGGGCTTAAGACTTAGGATTTAGGGTTTAGGCTAAGGGTTTCGGGCTTGGGGCTTAGGGCTTAAGGGTGAGGGCTCAGGGCTTGGGGCTTAGGGGCCCACAGCCAAGAGCGAACCCCAAACTAAGATGTTAAACCTAAGCATCTTTCGCCCATTAAGCTATTTCACACCTTTTCAGTTAGGGTTTAGGGTCTAGGCTTATTCACGCTTTTTTTCCCCAAAGCACTCAGCACTCTTGCTTTCGGGGTCTTGGCCCCAAATTTATGCATGACAAGACGAAACGCATATTCCCAAAGCCCCTCAACCACCATCAGCGCTCGTGTACCGGGAACTCCCCCTTACATGCCCGACAGCGACTCCACAGGCCCTCAAGTATAAACCCCAAAAGCCTCAAAATGGCGAAAAGCAAGCCCCAGAACAGCCCTAAACCAAGAACCCTAAACCCTAAACCCTAAACCCTAAACCCTAAACCCTAAACCCTAAACCCTAAACCCTAACCCTAAACCACCCTTTGAACAGCAAAACCCTCACACTGCCCAGCAAGCCCCGTGCCTGGAACTCGGGAGTCTACCTTCAGCTCCTAAACCCTAAACCCTAAACCCTAAACCCTAAACCCTAAACCCTAAACCCTAAACCCTAAACCCTAAACCCTAAACCCTAAACCCTAAACCCTACGAGGAGGGGCCCCCTTGCTATGGTAACTTTACTTGAGGGACTTCTAGCCCAAGTTAGTATCCTTATAACCCAATTTAGGGTTCTTATAACTCTACTTATAGCTAGGGGGCCCCTCCTTGTAACCCTTAATCCTAGCCCTGCACCGCCTACACCCTAAACCCTAGTCCATTCCTTAATGACGGGGTACTGAGCCCCCTGGGACTCCATAACTCAAAATTTTGACACAACTCAACCGTTATGGTACCAACCTGTTTGTAAGGACTTCTGCTTCATGAAGGTGCTTTCCCCAAACCCCAAACCCTCTAAACCCTAAACCCTAAACCTTAAACCCCAAACCCTAAACCCTAAACTCTCTAAACCCTAAACTCTCTAAACCCTAAACCCTCAACCCTAAACCCTAAACCCTCAACCCTAAACCCCAAACCCTAAACCCTAAACCCTTCTTTGGGGGCGTCCTTCTGCAGGCGTTCGACCTCGGCCGCGCTCGCCGCCTCCTGCCGCTTCGCGCTCTCCAACGCCTGCACAGGTGGAGGAGGGAGGGAAGGGGTTTAGGGTTTAGGGTTTAGGGTTTAGGGTTTAGGGTTGAGGGTTGAGGGTTTGGGGTTTGGGTTTAGGGTTTAGGGGTTTAGGGGTTTAAGGGTTTAGGCACTTAGGGGTTAGGGTTTCGGGTTTAGGGTCTGGGTTTCAGGTTCTGCGCCCTGTACCCTACAGGCCCTAAACCCTAACTAGACCCCTAAACCTGCACCCTAGACTAGACTCCCCCAAAATTGGAGTTTGGGAGAACAAGGCCCCGCCATTCCTCCCTATTTTGAGGAAGAGTGTGTTCTTTGATTAGGAGGCATCGGGCTCTCTGCGACAAGTGCTCGGCTAGATTTAGGGTGCAGGAACCCTGAACCCTGAACCCAAAAATCCTAAAGCTTGAATCCGAAACCCGGGCGAAGAATCGCACGGGCGATTCGCCAAAGCGTACCAGCCGCACGAGCGGTTTTTGAAGGGTCTTTGCCCAACAGCCCGCCAGTAATCGAACTTCAGTAGCCAACATACCCCGCAAGTCCCTAGCTCCTGTAAACCCTAAACCCTATACCCTAAATCTTAAGGGTTGTAAGAACCTTGCTGGTTCCAAGTTAAATTATTCAAGCTGCTATTCCCTGAACTAAAGTCCGTAAAGTTCAGTGGAGGTCCCAAGGCCCTACCTTTGGGAATGCTAACAGTCCTTCATAGGGATTCTAATTGGGGGTACAATGATCCAACTAAGGATTGCTAGTAGAAGGGGGAACATCCCAACCCTGCATCCTAAACCAGCTGTAGAGCTGTGGCTCCTCCTGGGACGACTCCTCCTTTGCTGCCGCGGCCGCTTGGTCCTGGCTCTGAAGCACCCCGCAGCTTACCGAGAGCAACCCTGCTTAGGGTTAGGGGCCAAAAAAACAAGGGGGTCCCTCCCAAAATAGGGACCCCTTACCCCCCAAAAGAGTTTCTACTCCGAACGCATAGAGGAAAGCCAGGAAAACAGGTGCCTCCATTTGGCACCCGATTTTGGCGACGGATTTGGGTTCAGTGTTTAACATGAGCACCGGTTGCGGGGCGCTGTAGGGGTGACCGCAAAGGATACTGAAGACCAGCACGACCTAAACCTAGTAGGGGAAGGCCAGAGCTGCATGAGGGTTTATCAAAGAACGGAAACCACTTAATACCATAGAATTCCCTTAAGAGACCCACCCACCCCACCCAAGAAAAAGGCATATAGTTAGGTTTAAGGTGTAGGGTCAGGCTTGCCAGCCCACAAGCAATTTAGACCCCAGCAAGACAAAGACTCAAACCCTGCCACGTTGCATGGAGGGTTTCAGAAATCAGGGTTTCGGCCCATCGCCGGGTTTAAGCTGTAGGGTTTGGGTGTGAAGATCTCAATAGAGTCCCGGGCGCTGAGCTCGCTGTGCACAAGCGAACCAGCGACAGAGCTTGCCCCACATGAGCACCCCACAAAACAAAGCCCGACACCAAAACCCTGAACCAATGAACCCCAAAACGCAGCGAGCTTCTGACAGATCCCGTGCCATGCTTGTAAGCTGAACAAGGCATTAGGAATTCTTTGGCTCCGCTGTAACCGAATGGATAGGGTTTAGGGTTTAGGGTTAGTTTAGCTTACAACCCAATGTGGGGTCCTGAAAGCCCGACTTTCAACTGGAACCCTTACCTGTAAGGATTTAGGGTTTAGGTTTGTTTAAGCTAAGCATCCTGAAAGAACAAGGGCGCTACTGGGCATTATCCCGAATTTCAGAAGTTCTTCAGCATCTAAAGAAGCGCGTGCTTCCTCATCGGCGGCATGTTGCTGTGCCTCGGAAACTCGGCAAAGGAGGACATGTAATGCGCGCAGGGCACGCCACGAGCGCCCCAGCCCTTGCACTGGTCGGCAGCATTTGGATGTGCTGTAGCTGTAGCTCTGCCTGTCGGCGTGCGATTTAACGGTTGGACCATATGTCGCTGTTTATGGCGGCGGTAGGATCTTTGGTCCACCGCCCGAGCACACGAGAGATTGATGAGCTGAACCCGCCTCGCTTGCCGACGCGCTGACGGATTCCGAACGCTCACAACCCAAGCTATTAATGTTGCACCTCCTTTAGTCGGGGGAGGATCCTTTTTACGACAGACTCGAACCAGCCCATGGCTGCCCTAAAGCCCTGAAACCGAAAGCCTTGCAAGGTTTGGGGTTTAGGGCTAACTTTTGGGTTTGTAGCGGGTTTGTAAATAACCCCTGAAGCCTTAACCCTAAACCCTAAACCCTAAACCCTAAACCCTAAACCCTGAGCCCTTTACCCTGAACCCCAACCCCTGAACCCTACGTGGGGTTCATGCTAGCTGCTAGGCCAATCGCCTCCGCCTTTGTGTGTGCGAGATCCCGGGCAGCGTCGGCAACTTCCTTTGGCGAAGGCACTCAACACAATTCTTGGTAGCCCGGTATGAGCAGGGTACCCTTTTGTGGGTTGGTTACGTATAAAGGGAACCTAGAACCAACACGCAAAAGGGTACCACTGGGCCGCGAGCATTAAGCCTTTGAGGTTTGCGTTTTTTCGGGCTTCAAGCATTCCAGCCGGCCCCTCCGCACTTTTCAAGCACAACCTAGACTCCCAAACCACTTGCAAGCCACGAAACCCCGAACATGGGATGTTCCCCAATGTACTAACAGTCCTTATGCGGGATTATGACCAGGGGTACTAGAACCCCGATTAAGGACTGACAGCATAAAGGGAAACATCCACCCCAAACCCCAAGCCCCAAGCCCCAAACCCCAAGCCCCAAGCCCCAAACCTCAAACCCTAAACCCTAAACCCTAAACCCTGAACCCTCCACCCTAAACCCAAACTCCAGCGTCCTGCTGCAAGCGCTCGACGTCGGCGGTGAGCTCTGCCTCACGCTGCTTGGCACTCTCCAAGGCCTCCAAGGCTCAGGCGATTTCGTGATTTTCAGGGTTTGGGGTTGAGGGTTTGCGGTTTAGGGTTTAGGGTTTAGGAGTTTGCGGTTTAGGGGTTTGGGGTTTAGGGCTTACTTGGAAGCTCTTTTGACTCAGTAAGTCTACTGGGTGTCCCCTAGAAACCCGACAATCATCCCCATGCCTCACCTTACCACCCTACTTACTAAGCCAAAATGGCTTCCAAGTATAGAGTTGAAAGTTTACCCTAAACCCTAAACCCTAAACCCTAAACCCTAAACCCTAAACCCTAAACCCTAAACCCTAAACCCTAAACCCTAAAGCCTAAAGCCTAAAGCCTAAAGCCTAAACCCTAAACCTGGGTACGTACTTGACTTGCATACCTGAGACTTCATGGGTAGCTATAGGCAGTACTAGGATGCTACCCTTACTCATGGACCTTCAAGCAAACCCAGGGCTTCAAAGAAGGCTTTCCCGATACCCTCAACCACCTGAACCTCATCACAATCTGGCCCTGCCGCTTCGTCATAAAACTGGGCAGGGTTTAGGGTTTAGGGTTTAGGGTTTAGGGTTTAGGGTTTAGGGTTTAGGGTTTAGGGTTTAGGGTTTAGGGTTTAGGGTTTAGGGTTTAGGGTTTAGGGTTTAGGGTTTAGGGTTTAGGGTTTAGGGATGTCGCCTGGACAGTAGCCACCTCTCATTGTCTCCACCCAAGACCGGTTCAGCGGTACTCCCAGCACGTGGGGCAAAGGTTGATCCACCGGAGACTAATCGCGCATACACACCGCAGCTGGCCATGGACTGCTTGCCTTTCGCGAGGTCGTAGGGTTTAGGGTTTAGGGTTTGGGGTTTGGGGTTTAGGGTTTAGGGTTTAGGGTTTAGGGTTTAGGGTTTAGGGTTTAGGGTTTAGGGTCCTGGACGCCCCCCCCCCCCCCCCCAGGGCATCTTTGATCGTCACTGGTGGCTGAGGGGCACTCCGCGAGAAACACTTCGACGTCCTCTTGCAGGCGCGCGTAGTAACTGGTTTAGGGTTTAGGGTTTAGGGTTTAGGGTTGGCATTGGGGCCATCCACAGGCACTGGCAGAAGTGCGGCCACCAGGCCAGCGGCCGCCTGGGCCCTTGCACCCTTCTTGGGAGCTGCATAAACCCTTAAACCCTAAAACTCTAAAACCCTAAAACCCTAAAACCCTAAAACCCTAAAACCCTAAAACCCTAAAACCCTAAAACCCTAAAACCCTAAAACCCTAAACCCTAAACCCTAAACCCTACACCCTAAACCCTAAACCCTAAACCCTAAACCCTACACCTTACACCCTGATGTGTTTAGGGTTTAGGGCTCAGGGCCCTAATTCTAGACGAGGTCTCTTCCAGACTGTCTTGGCTTCCGTTTGCACCCCAAAACCTACAGTAACCTCCCAAAAAGTTGGGACATCCATATCCCCATGCCCCAAAAGGTATTCTACAGGGAATCCCAGCTCTAAATTTTCCTTAAACCATGTTCCAACTTTCTGGACTTTACTGTAAACCCTAAACCCTAAACTCTAACCGCGAAACCCTAAACCCTGAACCCTATCCTTGTAAAGGGCGACTTCCAGAGGTAGCTGCTGTCAGGCTGGCAAGAGGGTTTATAGCGTTTTTGTGTTTTAGGGTTTAGGGTTTAGGGTTTGGGGTAGGGTTTAGGGATTAGGCCGGCCGCCCCGGGCAACCTGCTTTAAGCCTCAACCCTCAACAGAAAAAAAAAAAAACTGCCTGCACAAACTCTACCTGCATGTCCCATCCTTCACCAAGAGGGAGGAAGCATACCGCAATGGTGGAATTTAGGGTATCATAAAGGGTAACTTGCGGTTTAGGGTTTAGGGCTTAGGGTTTAGGGTTTAGGGCCCTTTAAACAAGGGGACAAGTAGCATACCTCAATGGACCTCGTCGTGAGCCACCTGGCGCTCAGCCGCAGATTGCTGGAGCTCCGTGAGGCGACCTCTTCAACTCAAGGCTTGCCTTCTCCCCTCTTTAGGGGTAGGGTTTAGGGTTTAGGGTTTAGGGTTTAGGGTTTAGGGTTG